TTTTTTCCTAGGTCCGTGTATAGCACGCGCATATCGAGTTTTGCTTTAAATATCGATAACTTGTCCCGTTATTTTATTATCGATTAAAAACATTATCGAAAACTAGTAATAAATTTATATCTCCTATACCTTTAACGCTAGAGTCTCCAAATTTGTTATTTATACTTATATGCATTTTATACAATTTCGGTTTTTGTCAAAATTTACTCCCCACCCCTGATTCACCCCCTCACCATCACATTTGTAAAATACGTATTTCAAATACTAATGGTTTTGTTGAAATGTATGGAACAGGTAGAAGGAGGCGTGGCAGACCCCACAATGTGAATATATTCTTGATCAGAGCGACGAGCTGAGTCGATTTGGCCCTGTTCGTCTGTCCGTCCGTCCGTCTGTTCATATGTATGAACGCGTCGATTTCAGAAGATAGAAGAGCTAGATACCAAATTTTGTTGTAAAATGTCCGTGCATACCACGCGGATATTGAGTTTTGCTTTCAAAATCGATAGCCTGCCCCGGTATTTTGTAATCGATAAAAAACCTTATCGAAAATCAGTTATAAAATTATATCTCCTTCAACTTTTTCCATTTTCAATGGGTTCAGGGTATAATAGTAGGATGGTGGGTTGGGGGCGGCAAATCATTTTTTTGCCCCGGGCGCTCAATGTTCTATGTATTACACTGCATACATACATACATACATATTTTTTTTTCCTAGACGGATAGAAACAAAATTTGGATTTCCAATAAATTTGACTGTTTACGGATTGCGACCGAGCAAAGCTTTTCTTTAGATGTACTATTTTGATTAACTGTAATACCATTATTTTTTTTTAACGTTAATTGTAACCTTTGAAATTTTACATCAGTTAAAATATGTTTTTATTTTTTTTTTTAGCCAAACATCAAAAATCACAATTAAAATACGCACATTAGTTGTACTGCTGATTTTTTTTTTCCAGTAATTCGAATATAAATTAACTATAAGGTGCGTCGCCTCATAATCAGGTTTTTTTTTTGTATCTCGTTCTTTATGCTCATGCATTAATTACATACATATATTATAACGATTTTTTTTTTGCCAATGGACTGACATTAATATGCAATTGGTGGTACAGCTGTTTATTATAGTTTTTTTTTCAATTAAAATTTTTTGTTTTATACCCTGAACCCATTGAAGTCAGGGTATACTTTTTTTTTTAAAAGCAATGTAACAGACAAGGCGTCTGTCCATCCGTCCGTATGTCCGTATTTTTTTTTTTATAAGAGCTAGAAACTTAAATCAGTATAGGATCGAGTTTGTTTCCCAAAATCTTTTTTTTTTCCCGTTTTGCTTGGTATCGATTAACAATTTTATCTTATCTTTATAAAATATATCGTCGCATTCCCGCGAAATGACCGTATGTTGATTTTTTGCGAAATTGAGATTTTAATGCAGAACGGTTAGAAAATGTCTGCCTTTAGTTTCGGAAAAAAATCAATTTCAAATTAAGCGTATTTTTTTTTATGTATATGCTAACATACAATAACGAAGTTTAGAAAAAGCTTCTCCTGTAAATTTTTTTTTTTGGACATACGATCATTTCGCGGGAATGCGACGATATAGTCTTCATCTTTAGAGCGATATTCTTCCAATTTTAACATTTAATTTCCCATAGTAAGTACTGCAGTATGGCAAGCACTTGCAGTGCTTGCGAGTGCATGTATTGTTTTGTCTGCTTGCTGAAAAGAATCGAAGAATTATTGAAATATTAGCCGCTCGAAGGGTTCAGGGGATCTTGTAGTCGAGCAGTTTAACCAGAGCTTTCTTATTTGTTTTATCTTTGTCTTGCAGCTGTTTTGATATCAATGAAAGAACTCTTCAAGGAAATGCCTAGCAAATTCCTTGGAATCGGCATGAATATTTGATTATTGTATCACAATTTGCATTGATTATTGATTATTGTATCATATTTGCATATTGTGAGTGCTAAGGGTTAGCACAGTTTTCATCTGTTGGTTGCGGATGGACGAGTTTTAATCTAAATATCATATCATAAGAGTCGCAATGCCGAATTGATAAAGATCGAGTTCCAACTCATTAACGCTGACTGGTTCCAAAGTGCGACGATACAACCAAACACGTCTTCCCAGTAGCGATGACTTTTAGTTTTTTGCTGGCCAAATACGACTGTGAATAGAAGAACTGTAATGTCATGCATCAGAGGAGGGGACTGTGTCATGCTGATTTAATATCTAGAATTAGCTTTTTTGGGGGAAATGGTGCAGTAATTAATGCTATGATATTTGACATTTCAATTACCTGCGCTCGACATTCGATGTTCTTCTTCTTCATTTTGTTTAGGCTTTGTGTTGAGCCAAAACTTTTGGCCCTGATGGCTGCACGCAAGCTGTTTAACAAAAATACATACATACATACATACATGTATATAAATTTAAAACAGATCACGGAAGAGCTAAGCGCCAGCAGCACAGATTGAAGGGGAGCGTAGCTGGTCTACCGGAATGCTGGACGAGCTACGAAGCAAATTATTGCGTTTGCGGCATTTGCGATCGGGCTTCAGGTGAGAAACCGTCCCGCTAGCCGATCGTCAGCTTCAATCGCTTAACGCTGCCGCAGCTGCGAAATTAAATAATTTTCCGTAAGCGTGTTTTACGAAGCTCAGTTCAATTGCGGCAAGCGTTGTCAACAGACGTCTCTCCACAGCCCACTGTGCACTGCGCAGCTCTATTCAACGGCAAGCTAACTCCGACGCAAGCGCAGCCAATCGACAAAAGAAGAATTTAGAAGTGAATGCAAATGATGCAACGGCACACAAACAAAGCAGGAAAACAGTGAACAGACAAACTGAAGGAGAGAGAGAGAGAGGGAGAGAGAGAAACAGGTAGATGGAGAGAGAATATCGAAAATATCAAAAGTTTACAGCTACCAAAGCCCTACTGTGCGTGTCGTGTCCGTGCTGCGCGCGTCTGACTGCGTGTGTGTGTGTGTAATGAAGTAACAACGACAACAACTATTCGAGCTCGATCACAACAAAACGAAACGCATCGAAAGTAAAACTTGGCGTCGCTCTCTCACACCCAAAAGCAGAAAACCAATACCCGAAACACCATTAAAAAGAAGAAAACAAATACGTGAAGTCAAAAGAGTTAAGCGAAAAACGAACCGAAGCCGTGTATTAGTTTTTATTTTGTTTTTGTTTCTGTTTCTGTTCCCATTCATTTGTGTACTTGTGCGTAAGAGAGAGAGAGCGGGCGAGCGAGCGAAACAGCGACGAGAAATAATTTTGGCATAAGTGCAGTTAGTAAGTCAATTGAATTGCATCTAATACCAGTTTAACTTCCTACACAAAAGCATTACCAATTACCAAGCAGCGAAACTACGAAAGAAGAAGACGACAAAACGAAGTAAAGTGAATAATGTTGATGCGCAAGAAGGGCTGCGGGACGAAGGAGGTGCGGCGGTAGCAGTGAGGGTCTATGTAGTGTAGTTTTGATTAAAAGCTTTGCGCTGTTTTGTTTCTGCGTACGTCTATGCGTCCGACACTATACAGCTGTTTTTAATCGCTATCGCTTTCAGCTCACTTTTACCTTTCTTTCGCTCTTGCTGCTGTTACTGCTGCTGCTGTTGATGTTGTTGTTGTTGCTGCTGCTGCTGCTGCTTTCTTGACACGTTGCAGTGGGTCTGCTTGTTGTTGTTTCTTTTATAGCCATTGTGTGAGGCAATCGTGTAGTTGGCTTATTGTTTCATCCGTGAAGGGCCGCTCTTCGGCGTTGGCAACAAAAGAAAATGTTTCGCCCAAAGRCAGCAGCAACAGCAACAACAACAATAGTCGCACATCAAATATAATCGAGAGATCGAGCCAATAACAAATCATTTTAGTTGCACCTCATGGTAGCTATTTGATATGCCAAACACTTGTTAGCCAAATCTTCACAGTTACAGTTTGCTTTTCGCAGAAGAATCAATCATTATTCCTTGCGTCTACAATCGAAGTTTGTATGTATACATACATATGTACATACATATCTCAAAATCTCATGTTTTAATCTGAAGTCCTGCTTTATATTCAAAAATATATAAATACATAAATATAATTAGTTCTGACTAGTGTTCTCTGTATGTGGGTCTAATATAATGACATCAATTACAGTGTCCGCAAATGAAAGTGCAAGTTTTCTCTTATAAATCGGAATCTTTCATCATTTAAAGATTTCTTACTGTGTGAGTCACTCTCAATTCAAAATTTTACCTACATATAATACACGAATATGTTTCCTAATCATGCTTTCTTAATAAATATGTATATATGCAATACATGCATATATTGTCCAGACATACATACATATGTACAAACATACAATGTGTATATGTATACGTTTGTTCGAATCTCGAGGCACACTAGATTCTTGTCTTTCAACTAAACAGTCTGAACCGGTTTAAGCTGTCACTCTCATTTTATCATATGATTTAAAAAATTATCTTATAATGTGCATATATAAAAAAATGTATATATTGATACTGGTATAATATATTATATTGACAGCTTCCCAACTTGTTTTGAGCTATTTAATAAGTTGGCGTTAATCCTTGTCGAACGCTAGTCCACTTCCCCATTTTAGAGAATTTTAAACTGCGGTTACAGGATTCTTCTGATTTTAAAATGATCAAATAGAAATAGAATAGAGGAAAAATGAAAATACATATAATAAATTATATAGAAAATATCTCTTTAGTTTTAATGAACATTTACATGACTCCCTAAAGCTGAGAATCAAGTTTACAAAGTGATCGATAAAGCTTTTCTCAAGTTCTTCCGAGTTTTTGATTTGATGATTAAGCAGTTAATCAATCGCTTAGTCAGTCTATTATTCATTTAATCATTACAATAAGTGACTCTCGAAATAGTTCGAAATCTTTGGCTTATTTTGTCGGGTCCATTAATTCCAGTCAGTCAGTGAACTATCCGGAATTAGTATTAGTAATTTTCTTATAATATTAAAAAGTTTTCCACTTAATCAATCAGACAGTCATTGACTCCTTATTGTATTGAATATATGTATATTCAAGCTTTAATGATTTGCTCTTGGGTTTTATAGTCAGTCGCTCAGTTAGTAAGCAAAACGATTATCAGTATTTATTGTACTCAAGAACCCTTTTGCTTCTACATACATACATATATCGCGGTGAATTTTTCATATATTTCTTCGCTGTTCTTTTTTGCATATTTTGCAGCAAAACTTTGCAGACTCACCAGTTAGTTGGCCCCTGACGCAGCTTTAAGTGAGTCGTAGAGCAATCGACAGAGAATCTTTTGCATATACTAGAACGAGCATCAGGGCTTGAGTGCATTCCAATGCTTGCACGTTGACCTTGCAAGTTGCTGAGCGGGTTAAAATTTGAAGAGCGACAGAAAGAAAGAGAGAGACAGAAAAAGAGAAAGAGAGAACATTTGAATTATGTACGTATATGTATATGTAGATATAAAATTATAATAACTAAGAACGTTGCAGTCGGGCGTTACCCCCCCCACAATACTTGGTCACGATCAAAAAAGTTATACATAATTTGTATATTACTTACTTACGATGATTGAAATTTAACGATATAGCTATTTTTGATTGATTCAGTCGTTTATCAACTGACATGCGGGTTTTAACTCTAAGGCTCCACACCGACTTCCATAGGCGTATTTGATATTCTTTAGTGAAGCTCTGGCCTATATGAATATAAGGAGTGCTTAGCTGTCAACAATTAATACGATATGCCAGTTAAGTCTAATATCATATCACGCGGTATGCAAATTCTGAGGCTAGAAGATTGCATCCCAAATATCAGACTCACAATGCCAGGGAGCTCAGAGTTTTATGATACCTATTCTGATATAAACACACATATGAATGTATGTATATACATATATTTCGAGAGCGACAGCTATGTAAATTTAGGTGGGATAATAATGAACGCATTATATTATAAAGTTCGGACGGGCTGCTGGAGCAAATACTCGAATCGAGTATTTGCTATTTTATTTCTTTATTTACTTGTATATTTATTCATTATTCCTATTTCTTTTTATTCATTTATCACACATACGAACGAATTTCGTCTCAGATGCTTTTAACTCGATTTGAATTTGTGATTTTTGTTCAGTTAGTTGAAGACTCATGGCCAAGGTCGAGCGCTCAATAAATAGATAGATCGTGCGTGTGTGTGTGTGTTTGTGTTTACCATAAATTGTGATAAACTGTCTGACCGACATCTTTATAGAGCCGACGTTTTTGCATCTGGTCCACATTTTTGCTTGTTTTCTAGTTAGTTGTAATACTACTAGATGAATATACATACATATATATTTGGGTTGCACATTCTACACCCTAAGCTTATTGGAAATGGAAATACAGAGCATATTGTGCTTGCTAGCATGTGAGTGTCAGACAATGAAGGGCTTCCACAATCGAGTCATGCAATCTAGATATATTAGTCTATTAATAATAGAGTCTTGAATGAACAGTTAGCTTAGCATCTCCTATCAATTTGAGAGTCAAAAGTATTGCAGAACATTATTCTATATACATACAATATTATGATTGAACAATATTGATTGAATTATTATTTTATTATAATGTAACTAGTATTATACGGTAACTAGTTGTCTGGCAGACACGACTGGCGCTCGCCTACTTGTTTGTAGTTAGCTTTGATCAGTTGTTGGCCCTAACCCCGCTGCTTGGGGGCGTCATTCAGCAAGCTGTTGAAGTTGCCGGCTTCAAGGCGTGCGGCCTGTTCTAATCAGTTGGCGGCCTTTGCTGTTGCCCATCTCCGCACAGTGGGTCAGTTCGGGTTCTCGTTTTTTATGCACCTAGATTGTATTGCATTTACAATTTGCATGGTCAATTGCCCACCCTTTCGCCCATATCCAACTGAACAGCTGAAACGCTCCAGCTTTTTATAATTTTTTTATTTTTTATTTTTTATTTGACAACCAGTTAAAGTTAATATGCAGCAATTTCACTGCAATTTGGTTGATGGCAAACGCCAACCTGGTACAAAACATTGTTTATCGTTTCTGCGCTTACAAAACTTTTTTTGTGCACTTTACAATCTTTTGTGCACATTCAACAAGCATGGCTAGAGATTTTAAAATTCAAACTTTTTTATAAAATTTTTCCTTTTTTGTGGTTATCTGTTTAAGCTCAGATTCGGATATTATGTGAGACTTTCGACTTGGATATCTCTGAGGGCCCACATCGCATTCGTGTATATCATTTACTTACGCACTGCTTACAGCTAAAAGATATTGGTTAAATGCGAAATTGTCACGTAATTTCCTCGTCAAAGTTCTTTCTAAGATATATTCAAAATTTCTTTGTTTTGTCCACGATAAGCATTAATGCACTCACAGTGTAATTATATATAAGTAGATAGATGCCGTGGAAGAGATCTTTGGTATGATATGATTCGACAGGAACCTATTGTTTAGTTATTCTTAGGAATCGACATTTTCAGACTTGAGAGAGTTGGTATGGTATTTCAAAGTATAAATAAATAAATGTTTAGGCTTTTCTGCTTTTATGCTTTTTTAAAATTCCAATTACATATATAATTAAAGGGTATGTGTAATACTTAAACAAGTAGAAGTGTGGGGAATTACTCAGTTCCAGGTAAGCGTTTATTTGTTTCAAACAAATGATTTTAACGAGATCCAGCACTTTCGACTTACATTATTTCAAGCCAGTACGTGAAGCTTTGATTCGGTTGTCTTCGAGCTAATTTCAATTAATTGTCACTGAGAGCCGTAAAAATCGTGTAGAACCCTAATCGCCAGTCAACTGGTTTCAGAGACACTTGACAAACAGCTATCCAATACGATATTGTGTTTGTTTTTGTATTTTTATGTGCACATTGCACGTCTTGCAACAAATAAAATAAAGAAGCGGGTTCTCTCAGTGTATCCGGTCGCTGTACTAGTTGCTCTTTTCCACTGTTGAAAGGGGAATACGGTAGTTGAAAACTACTTTACATCACTTCAAGTGTTATGAGAGCAATGAAGCGTAAACCATTTCGAAACGCCAACTAACGTCGCCACTGTTTCGAGTGCAATCACAGTGTTTTATAAGCCAATTAGTTTGTATTTTGTTAAATCTGCCTAAATGATAAAAGATGTTAAGAATAAATCAATAAACTAGAGAGTCCTTCAGCTGGAGGATATGGCTTACCCTCCACTTAAGTAGTCGGGCGTTACCAACTGCGGAATACTCATTCACATCCCATTAACAATTTAGTATGAAGTGAAGTTTCGCT